CACTTAAAAGCAAAAACTGCTTGAAAATCTGTTTCAAATATATGGCAAGACACCACAATGTTAAAAGCATGAATGGCGGACATCTTATAGATAAAAAAAAAACAACAAAAAACAAATAACAACTAACAGCTTCGAGGCATGCGTACAAAGCGACAATGAATTCATTGAGTTATATGTAATATTACATACGCACAAACCTACATATACATACACATATATATATGTAAAGCAAAAATACAATACAGTGATGTCTCTTTCTAATGCAGCCATATATTTATAAAAATTTGATACAAAAAAATATATATTAATATTTTTTATAGAGAGAGCTTCTTTGCATATTTTTGCAGGAGTTATGTTGCTGTTACTACGAAAATATTTTCCAAGAGATGTTCTGTGCCAATATCAAACTTACGCTTTACATATTTGCTTTCAACTTCTTTTGAAGTAGGCTTCACTTTATTAAACTATATAAGTATATGTATGTATGTTATATTATATGTGCCTATGTAAAAATCTGCGCGTGTGAAGGCTAACCTTAAAATTGCAGCTTCCAACAACTGTCTGTGCGTTAAAAGCGAAAAATTAATTACCGATTTTCAAAGCGCGCGTGCTTACATAACTAATATACATATGTAAATAAGTACGTAGGTATATATGTCTGTTTGTACAGCATTCATAAATATACAATATAAACTTATATATACACTGAAAAAAAATATACTTCAATTGTATTTCGAACACACAAATGTTACACATATACATACATACAACATTATATATGAAACGTATCTACATATGTAGGCATATGCATTCCACAACGCTTGTCTCACAGGTGGGCCACAAATTTCAGCGAATCCAGCGCTGAGCCTCACTCCAATGAGCACTCCAAAGTAAACTTAACTAAACGAAACAATGCCAATTGATTACATTGATCGATTGATTTCAGCGCTTATTGTTCAAATACAAAAAAAAAAACAATAACAAAAGCAGACAGCGGACGTGTTGAGGACTGAGCAAAATGTGTTGAGTTGAGGCATTTTCGTTGAACGTTTGGCGTTTATGATGCAGTCCCAACTGCGATGCTCCAAGCGAGGGCGAAACACTTCAGTGCACCTTTTGTTGTCATTCGATAATGACTGTGATGGCGACGCGCGGTTTGCGGCTGCTCGTGTGCGGAAACCAACCAAAGCTCGCTCCGTCACTCATTCACTTGATGGCTTCCACCCACACGCACGCGCACACATGCATACATGTGTAGTTGTGTATGAATGTTTGCTTAACTGCCGCGCGTCGATTTTCTAATGAATTATGAGTGGAGAAAATTGAAATCTGTGCTGCGTCAAGTAGCGACGCGATTTAAGCATAATTGTCGAACGATTTTTCAAAAGTTGGGTGGTCGGTTTTGATATTCTTTGCTTTAATTCTAATGAGCTTTTGTTTTTATAAGTGAATTTCGACAGATTTATTTTGAAATCAACGCGCTGTGTGGATTCAGCCACGTCCGTCTCTCTGTATATGCATACGTGTCTAGTAATTCAATTTTTGAGATATCTATCTGAAATTTTGCACACGTTCTTTTCTCACCAAGAATATGCTTTTTTGTCAGAGTTTTGTCAAAGGAGCCATTATCGGTCGCCTTTAGGATACAGCTGTCATAGCAACTGGTCGATCAAAATCGAATCTTCGTAACGAAAACTTTTTTAATTTGACAAGATATCTTTTCGAAATTTGGCATAGATTATTGTCCACTGCAACGTCATAATTCCGGGACAAATTGTTCAGATCGGACAACTATAGCAAAACGCTATCATAAAAACTGTTTTATTTTCATACCAAGTAGTCTTAGTATATATGATAGATATATATAGAATACCTGCCATATTTAACACTTAACCTAATTTTCTACCGATTTCATATGCTAATTAATAAATAATGCGGAGAATACATTATTGCCTTACACAATAACTTGTGCATAATTTCGTGAAGATACCTCGTCAAATAAAAAAGTTTCCCATACAAGTACTTGATTCCGATTGTTCAGTTTGTATGGCAGCTATACGCTATAGTGTTCCGATATCAGCCGTTCAGATATATGAACAGCTTCTTAGTGAGAAAAGAACAGGCGCAAAATTTCAGATCGATAGCTTAAAAACTGAGGGACTAATTTGTATATATACAGACGGACGGATATGGCTAAATTAACTCCACTCATCATGCTGATCATTTATGTATATATTTTATAGGCTCTCTGAAGTTTCCTACTGGGTGTTACAAACTTCGTGGCAAACTTAAGATACCCTGTTCAGGGTATAAAAACAAAAAGCAGAATAGTTAGAGAGATATAGCCCTAGCTAGCTCTATTTTACTTAGATTAAACTCTTTATACCAAGAATAATTTGAGGTTGTGTAGGTAGATTGAAATATGAAGAGCTTTATTGATACCTTCGGTTCATGTTTAAGATCACGGTTTTGTGTGTTCGAACATTTTAAGTAGACGTTTGTTTATTCCAAGATCACTTTTACTGCTAAGATCATTGCTTAATGAGCAATATTTATTCTCAAAGTATTGTCTGATGCTACACTTTCTCAAGTGTGTCATACTCATCTGTGTATTTTTTTCAATGACATATCTACACCTTGCCACCATGCCACCATGCCACCATGCCACCATGCCACGATGTTAATATCGGCAGTCTTTCATTATTTCACTTATTTAAGTTAACAAATTATTTTCAATTGATTTCACGTACGATCAGCGCACGAACATGCTTCGTTTTACGAGCAACACGTTCGCATGCCAACAAACACTGCTATGTGCCAAAGTTGTTGTAACTATTATTGATGCTACTATTGTGAGTAGCATTATTGTTGTTACTGTTGGCATTGGTATTCATTGCTCATGTCGTTCAGCGCTCATTGTTGTAGCATTGTTGAAGTATTGTTGCCACAACGTGTTGTACTGGCGTTGGCAGCCGCGCATGTTACTATTGTCATTGTTGTTGTTGTTGTTGGTGTTGCTGTCATTGCTGCTGGAGCGCTGGCACTGTTGTTGATTAACCCCTGGCTGGGAACATTTAATGTGTAATAACGATTTGTAGCAACATGGAAATATGTTGAAATTCCTCGTAGCCGAATCATTAATCATAAAAGTTGTGCGCTCTAGGTGTAGGTGTAGTTATGGTTGAAGCAACCAACGTACATTTGTATGTAAATGTGTGCATATGTATTCGTGTGAATTTCCAAGTTTTACTTCTGCTTTTTCCCAACAACTTGAAGTTTACACGCCACAAAATGCACAAAAGCGAATTGATAAAGTGAAGCAACAACTATTGTACGCTGTTCTTGTTGATATTGTTGTTCGTGTATATATTTTATTAGTTATGTGTTTTTTTTTGGCTTCATCATAAACGCTTTGTTTACTTGATTTGAGGGTAGCCTTTGAAAACCACCAACATAGTGCAACTACAACAACAATAGTTCACATCAAATGAAGAAAAGTAGAAAAAAAGACAACTAAAAGCGAACATAACAATATTTCATCCGATAAATGGGATAATATAGACTCTTTGTTTCACCCAAAGCCTGACAACATTGTGCTCATTGAAGAAGTGCCCAAGCGCAAGTATTTGGAGAGTTAAGTAAACAGTTCAATTGCGCCTGCATTGCCTTCGTTCTCATTCCCAAACGTAACATTATAATTATGATATTTTTTTCGATTTTAAGTGCACATTTATTGTGCGCGCCAGCCCCGTCTACCGCTGACGCGCATACAGTTCGAGTAACTTTAGCTGCGATAGCGCACAGCACCCTTTTTTTTGCTACATTTGTTGGGTCATTGTGGTGGGTTCTCATGTCCCAATATACCAAAGCCATGCAGACAATTTAATTAAACCGACTAACGTCTCATTTATGTCGCCACTCGCGTCTTGCCTTTGTCACCAAAAGTGTTAAGAAAGCGATCAAGCCATGATGCAGCTGCAGTTTGCGTGGCGGAGCAGGGCGAAGAGATAATTGTGGCGCATCTGAAGCATTGAATAAGTCGTAATAAGTCGCATTGTATGCGCATGCGCTTGTCTGCATGCGTGTTTGCCTGCTGTGCGCTCGCCTATCGATCAGCTGACCACCGGCGCAGCAAGCGCATTAAAATGTCACAGCGCGAACACAAAATACACATTTCACGATACTTAGCCGTTGGCAATTGATAGCGAGCCAATGCGTTGACATTGATGGCCTACATATATATATCTTGTGATTGTATGTGTGTGGACTAAGTAGATAGAGTTGCCATTGTTGGGTAAAAAAATGAATGTCATAAATATAATACCGAATAATTTGAATGAACTCCTTCATGAACTAAAATCACAAGATATCAAAGCACTTATTAATATATGTTCATCAGGGTGGAGCAAAAAAATTTTCTGAGGGTAAAATCTGTAGATTAAAAAAAAAATGAAATTTTTGGACAAAAAAATTTTTTTTAACATCTACTCAGTTTTAAAGTAAGTTTCGAGTTAAAATTTTTTTGGACAAGAAAAAATTATTTTTGGTTTAAAATCTTTACATTTATATAAAAATTACCGAATGTGATGGTTTTTGTCTCAAAATTTATTTTAATGCTTAAGGAAAGCATGATGTCGTCTAACACTTTTTTTAAAACTCCAATAATGACCACCAAAAGTTTTTTAAGTTGATAACTTTTAATTGGCCAGAAAGAGGACTCTCCACAGCTTCTAGAACACTTATCAAAAAAGTTTTACGAAATAAAAATTTAACTCGAAAATTTACCCTAAAACTGAGTGGGCCGCCTCTAGATGTTAAAAAAAAATTTTTTTGTTGAACAATTTACATTTTTTATAATCTACAGCTAAGCAAAAAAAAATTTCGCTCCACCCTAATATTCAAATATACTGTAGGCGGTGTAGGCCAAATAGTTTATTTTTTTTACTTTTCCACCTTGATTTTTGTGTATCATTTGAGTTTGTTCAATTTATTTTGGTGTTTGAATTCAAAAGCTTTCTTTACTCTCACAGATAGAGATCTCAAACATTGGTTTCGAGGTTCTATCAGGTGCAAAATGCTAAAGGTTCAAGCCCAGCACCAACGCGCTGATTGGATAATATCAATGGTAGTATGGTTCAAGCAAAAAAAAGAGTAAGTAAAGAAAATAGTCCGAGCTTCAGAAATAAACCCTTCTGATAAGATGTTTTATTGAAAAATAAATATATATAACAGTTATTTACAGGTTATTTTTATAATAGTCAAACCAACTATGACTTAATATAGGAACATATAAACCCTTCCTACTTAAAGAAAACTTAAATGCATAAAGCGAACAGCGTGCTTCCTATTTTAAACATATGCCTTTGCTACCACAGCTCAATGGCAACACTGTCGCCACTTTGATCCTCATGGGAAATATGATCTGCATACTTGCTCGTACACGGTAAGCGATATGGATACGGTTGACATGTATGTACATGAAGTCAAGCCAAAACAAATAATAAAAACAACATAAACAAAGCAGATAATTTCAATTAAGTTCTCAGCGCAGGCGCGCTGACTGATCGACATATATGCGTACATATGCACACAGACTAAAGCCGATGGTCACGACGGCTGCATGGACCTCCGGCGAGGATGCTGCCACTCCACACAGCCACACAGCCAGTCGCCAGGCAATTCAACACAATGCGCACACATTTAGCTGTTACAAAATTTTCACCTGACGATGCATGCCAGCGATAAGGCGTAGCGCGCACCAACGGCGTAACGCTTTCGAAGCCAAATTGCATTCAAATTGTGTTTGACGGGAAGAAGAGTAGTGGTAAGGCAATAGTACGGGGTGATAAGGTGTACAATGATGCCAATGTGCCACCACTTGCATGCAGCGGACGAGGCAGCCACACATGCGTATATGCGTATTTTTGTATGTGTGTGTGTGTGTGTGTGTGCTGGCCGCTAGTGTGATGTCATTAAGGATAGCACTCAACGTTGGTGCTATTGAAGTGTCGTCAATTAACTCGGTCTCTGATCGGGGCAACTGATTACGGCGGTCAGGCCGCAGACACCCAAATAGACAAATAGACATAGATAAGACGCACCGCGCGGCAGTGCTATGCCCAGCAGCAGGGTATTCTCGTGTACGTGTGTGTGAATGTGACAGTCACCAGCGAAACAGGATCGAGTTGTTACTATTTTTTCTTAAATTTTTTTTTTTCATTATTTAATGCCTTTTTTATAGTAAAGGTGCATAATTTAGTGATACACATGGAGGTGTCACTCACAAATTGGTCTTTCCTGGAAGCGGCCAACACTCTAGAGAACACACGCACGCTGGTAGACAATATGCGAGTTGTAATACACACACACACACACATGCACATATTCGTACATATACTAGGTAGTTTAATGCGTATAAAGTCATAAAATTAAAGGTAATACGAGTACTTAGCGACTGGATTTTGTTGCGTCGGCTTTTAACGCAGTCGTTGCAGTTCCACAGCTCAATAACTCATTGATAAGTGTATTGAAGGTTTTGGGAAAATGTCAAATGAGGTAATTTCTACAAGTGATTATTCGTAGAAAAAGTTTAGAATATAAAATCACGCGAAGCATGGCGTTTAAACACGAATAAATGCGGAAGAAAATGCATAAAGAGATTTATGTTTCTTTATTAATTAATTTACGCTAACCAGAAGCAGCTGCTTTCTCTCTTGGCAACAATTGCGCGGCTTATAAGATACACATTAATCAATGATATTACTTTCGAGGTCTTAATTAGTTTAAATCCTTTTGGTAATCCTGCTGCAAGTGACTAAATATCTTAAGCATTATCTTAGCTGAGCTTCATGAAAAAAATACACCTAATTATTTCTACAAACCCTTTTCAATATCGATGCCTTAACTCTCCTTAGTACCATATTATTATCTTGCTTCTATTCTAATTTCACTTTTGTTTTGTTTTGCTGTAAGTCCATCTTTATATTAAGGGCTACATGGGTTTCAGGGTTTCGATAAAAAAAATTTGTTTTCTTCTCTTATTTAATTCCATGACATCTTTAGAATCTTTTAAATTCTCAAGTTGATCGGCGTGATAGTTTTGGAGATACAGCCTTGAAAAGTAGCGCGCTCGTGGTCAGCTTTATAGTCGCTTAAAACTTTAAACGTATTTTACTGGAAACCTTGTTTTCAAAATCGGTTACCAAGATTTCTAGCGAATTCCTCAACTGATCTTAAACAAATTTTACACAGATCTGCGAGATATAATTTACAAGGTCTAGAACGAAAGATTTTTTTTTTGGTCAATTGCAACTATTTAAAAAAAAGTCGAGAAATTTTCACCAAAATTTGAATTTTTTTGTAAAAACTTCTGCCAAAAATAAAATTGTCCTTTTTTGTTTTTATTTCATTCGATAGCTAGTTTATGGTCTTAGTTCAAATACGTATTTTTTTTTACTTTAACTGTAAGAAATTTTGCTGTCAACTTTTTTCTGAGGGACTGTCGGATATGACGTCGTAATGGCTGAATTCTCAATATTTTTTTTACAAAATCTTTATCAAATATGTATCTTCGGAATAGTAAAAAGTTTGAACAAAATATTTAATTTTTCATATGAAAAAAATATATATTGAAAATATGCCGTTTTTTGCTCGAAGAACATCATCTGATAATAATGTGTTCGCGGCATTATTGTCTTATGCCAGAATTTTTTTTTTTGATTTCAGATAATTTTAGACAGAAAAATATATCTCACTGCCAGTGACCTTTTCTCGGAGTCCCTTCTGGAGTGTGAATTGAGAGCCTCAAATCGATTCTCTGTATCAATTCACATCTTTTTGAAATTTTTTTTTTATATAGACCAGCTAAGAATGTCAGTAATCTTTAACAAGTGTTATGTCCTCAGTTGTTGTAAATTAGAGAAATTTTATTCAAGAGAACTCTCGTGACTATTCTTTTATTTACTAATAAAACATGCGGTACTCGATATACTCGAGCTCACATTTTTAAGCGCCCTACGCTATTACCTTGATTTTCATAAATTCATAAAAATTATTTCCAAGCTATCAATGACTTATGTTTATATGTATGTATACACATAACCTTCATTATGTAATCTATAAATAAACCTTATTGAATATGCTGCAAATATGGTATTAAAATTTACATACTTCATAACAGTGAATAACACATATTTATATGTGTTTATGTGTGTGTGTGTTGAAATTGTGGTCTGTTATTTTATTTTGATTGCAATCACTTGTCCCGCGCAATTAGCGATATTGCAACAAAATGTCAAGTGCTCATGGGTGGGGCAATGTTCAACTGCGATTTTCAATTTCAAAATGCATTTGTCGCATCGAATACCACAAGTGCAGATATATGTATGTATATATGTATAACTATGTTTGCCTATAAGCAATTTAACTTAATAAATCGAGGCATTTGTGTATGTGTGTGGCTCTAATAACTGTCCAAATTGTCATACATATTTGTGTGTATATATGTGTGCTTGCATTAATGGGTAGTGCATGACATACACACATACACATACGTATAATATATGGGCTAATGAGGTTATGCCTAACATAAGCAAACAAATAAATACGAGCTTGGGCATATACATATGTAACTATGCTTGTTGCACATTTTAATGTATATTCAAAATTGCCAGATTTCGTCTGAATTCTGAATTGGAACAAAGCATCGCGCAGATAACATTTTTTTAGCTACATACTTGTACTTGTTCATATGTACATTCCTAGAACTCATACTAAGTTTAGTGCTTATGATAATATCACTTCACATGCCATGTGTGTGGCATTCATGGAACCATGTTTACATACATACTTTATTTACTTATGTGTACTCGATACTCCAAAGTACGTAGATATGTATGTGTGTGTGTGCATTTCCGCAATCGAAAGATAGCATTTGTCACTTAGCAGTTTCATTGAACACATTTATCAATTAAACGGCGAGGTGTGGCGATCGTCTATTCTATATACACTGTTTACCGTTTTAACTGTGCTACACATTCGTTAGTTAACTTGTGTTAGACCTCGAAGCTGTCTCGCGCTATGTTTGCACAGTTATGCGTCTTCGACTGTTCGATTGTCGTCGTCGATTGTCGCGTAAACAGTAGTGATTCTTCATGAAATGCTTGCTCTAATTGAGATACGTCGTAAACATGTTTTCAAACATGATTTCTCAAGTGAGCACTAGTAGAATTGTCGGCACTGATAAAAACTTCCAGCTTTCTATAACAATGAACAAGCTGTTCAACAGAACTTGACTGGGTGCAAATGTGTCTGCGATCGAAACAAGTGTACTTACAAATGTTGCATAACTCGATGATAACAGTTTTGAGTACATAAATAACCACATTACGATAAATAACTAAATGCAGGGTGAATGAGAATCTTTTTGAGAAGTTGGTTATCTAAAGAAAAGTTCTCAAGGTATGCAGTAGAAATAACTTTGTAAGTATCTATATTTGTATCTTGCTATGTAAACATGCAGTTGATAAAAAATTATGTGTGGGAATTTTATTTCGCAGATTCCTTGAAATTTGTCATATCTTTGCTTTTGTTAAGAGTTGTCTATTAGACTTAAAACGTTTGCTCAGATCTTTAACGAAGATCTTTATATTAAGCTTATTTGGTCACCTGGCATGGCAGCTATATTCTATTGTTGTAGGATCTGAATAATTTGTTCGGAGATTGTAGAGTGATCTTGGACAAAAATCCATGATAAATTTTGTGTGGGTATTTTTTCATATAAAAAATTTTTCCATACAAGTGCTCGGTTTTGATCGATCAGTTTGTATGGCAGCTATATCCTATAGTTATCCGCTATCTTCGGTTCCGACAAATGAGCAACTTCTTTCGAAAAAAAGGGCGTGTGCAAAATTTTAGATCGATCCAACAAAAACTAAGGGACTATTCCGCATATAAACACACAATCGACGCAGCTTGTCACACTGAACATTTATGTATCATACATATTTTGCAGCCGATTATTTATGCCATAATGAATGCATGCTGGTTCCACGAATGGCTATAATTGTGTCAATCTAACGATAGGTCACATGACGATCTTGCCACATCAGTTTGCGCGCTGCATCAATAGTTTCCGGTACAACAACTGATTTTGGACCACATTCATGAAATTCTTCTTGAAGTGATCTACGACCTCGATTGAACTCACCATACCATCGATAAACACTCGACCTTAATGAAGCTTCATCTCAAAAAATTTAATTAATTTCATCGATGCGCTGTTGCTGAGTTAATTCACGTCGAAAGTTGTAAAAAATAATCGCGCGAACATGTTCGCGATTTAATTAAATTTTTTTGGCCGAGCTGAATATTTTAAGTTACTGTATACAACACAAATAGCGCTCGTATGTATGTCAAAGCGTTCTGAGTAACATCAAAAATGTCAAACTTCACGTTAAAGTTGTGAGTTGCCAGATTGCAACACTAGGGTTGTCAAACTCCGAAATATTAAAGGCAACCTAG